CCCCAAAACCCCAAAACCCCGTGCTTAATATGAAGATAGTAATTCGATGTATTATAAAAAATTTTATTAAGAATTATGCCATGATTTTTTCACTAATTTTAATCTAATCAAAATATGGTTTAGTTATTATAAAATTTCAGATATCAAGCCAAATATAAAAATATAAATGATTCTCAACTTATTTTTCATGCTAAATCTTTTCGTGTCTTCTCTTCAGCAGGATTAACTATTGATGGTGATTGAAGTATGCAGACATGGTGCAAGATCCCCAATCATTTAGGATGATAATCTCACATAAACTTACTGGGATATGGGCTTAGGAATGCTTACTAATGTCGGAATGAGGCAGCACTATTTGCTAGGAAGTGAGATTAGACATAGATATATAGAAGATTAGCATTTGTTAGACTCAGAATACAATGCAGAATAGATTGAAATTTACTCAACTCTAATGGAAAGAACTTACCATTCTGCAATATCATAATTCTCAGGAATATATCCAGACATCTAACAAAATTTTAAAGACAAGAAATTATCAGAAACTTAATTAAATAGAGCTATTCTTCCAATTTTGAGAGATACTGATCAAGATTATTAAAAGTTACTTTTGCAAGTAAATTAAGAATTAGGTGATAATATTTCTACAGACCTTTATGCCCATCCTCACGTGAATCAGTTAAAACATTATTACAATTTTGCTAAAAGCTAGTATATAGAAGACTTAAAGTGTCCCTTTAGAGATTAAATCAGAGATGAATTTAGTATGCACTCAAGTAGTACTGGTGAATTCAAAGCTATTTATTAGAGAGCTAATTTGATGCTATAAAAAATCCAATTGACCTTAAATATAACTAATAAAAAAGTAGATCCTGATTCGATAATAGATCAAATTTAAATGGCTTAAGCTAATGGACTAAAAATGCCTTTCACATTGACAGATTAGGATTATTAAACAATTAATGATTTTAGAAGATATGATTTATCCACAAAATTTGCTCTAAAAAAAGATGCAGCTTTGTTTGATACTTAAGAGATAAGGAGATTAATGTCTGAAAAATTGATTTTGAGAGCTACAAATACAACTAACAATAGGCTCATTATACTATCTCTGCATGATACTGATATTTCAGTTTTACTGTTTACTATTGATCAACCTTAAAATGAATAGTCACCAGTTGCAACTACTATATTTTTTGAGCTACATAAAAGCTTTAATACTTCTCAGAGTTAGCTCTACGTAAAAGCAATATACAATGATAAGTAACTTAATCTTCATAAGTATTGCTATGACACTGATAACTCTACAAAATTCACTCCTTATTTATGCGACTACGAAACATTTATTAGTAAACTTCAAGGAGACTAGTTTAATTGCCAAATATAGACAAATAGTGAAACAAAATTAAGCAATATTTAGATTTATGGAATATTATTCGGTTTACTTGCTTTGCTTTTAGTACTAGTAATTATTGGGTATTGGATTGTTAAAAGAAGTATTAAGAATAAAGAAGGATTAAAAAAGAAAGAATTTTTTGCTTTTAATTGATTATTAAACTAGATAAATTATTCATTTACAAGGAATAATTCAAATTTTTCAGAATACAAACACATGGGGTTTTGGGGTTTTGGGG